TTGGAAATTGTTTTCATGTTCTAAAATTTTGTTCTTGTTTCCTCACCCACCCCCCCACCCCCTTGGCCGCGCCCACTGGGGCGCAAAAGCGTCACAAATGTGCAAAATTCTCGTGGCACTGCATTCAGCCCTTCAGGACTGCCGAACTCTCTCTCGCTCTCACTCACCCTCTGGGAAAACGGCAGCCCTAAAACCACCGAATTCATGCAGCCCCGCTTTGAGCTCGTTTGGTCGCTTTCGCATGGAACTTAATTAACCTAAAATACAATTATGTTTATTCCGAGGTCTTGGGGGAGACTCACTATCAGTATCGTCACATATTTCGGCATCACATTGTATGGCTCAATTCCTCAAGGCGAAGAGCGTCTGCGAAGCACTTAATCGTCACTCCTGCGGGAGCCCAGAAGAGTTCAGCTCGAGACATAAATACATTAATCGACCACTTTAGCTTTACCATCATTTCTATACAAGTTATCACATTGAAATATGTATCTGAATTGCAGTTTTGAGCAAATTCTGTACATTTTCAAGGGAAAAAATGCTTTTCTTCTCGAATAACATGAATATGTGTTTAATTATTTATCTACTCATATCTCCCTAAGTTTTCCTCCGATTTTCACAAATGGAACAGATTCTGAAAGGTTACTTCACAACCTACAATTTTCTAGAACAAGTAAAAATTGTCAAACTACCGCAAGATGGCGTTTAAAGCCTTTGTTTTCAATAAAGCCATTTCTTTTGCATGTCATACTAAAAATATTCATATTGACGCTATTTTTAGGCGGATTTTCAAAAATAATAGCGTTTTGGAAAGGGCAAAAGACAGCCTACAATTGTCCAAAACTGTATTATTTTTCTCATATTATTCATGCGTTCAGCACGTAAATTCACAACACAGGTCAGAATATTCCAATTTAATTCCCTCCACGCAAATATTTCTATTAAATCTGTATTTACAGATATGACAATTTATCTATTAAACGTGTGATTATCTGGGAAAAAATGCCCCATGAATCTGTGCATATGTTTAATCCTGAATCGCCAATATTTACAGTTGTAGTTTGTAAATCCCAACAGAGACAAACTCTCCTGAAATGTCCGTGTGATTAAATTGTGTCCCTTTTTTCGCACAGACACTAATTTGCTGCGGATTATGAGGTGATTTTCACGAGCACGAGCAAAACAATTGATTCTATTTGATGTTGAGTTATGTGTCACTCTGTGCAATATTTTGTTTATCGGGCCAGCATAACACTGTGCAGAATAAATTGAGTTGTGCAAGCGCTCGCCACGTCCGCTTTTCCCACGGAAGTTTGGCATTTTTCACACAGGCGGCGTAGATGGCGGATTGCTGGGGGGTGGGAAAAAAGGGCGCCGAGAAGGGGGGAAAGTGCAGCAAAGCCAATGAATTTTATACACGTGTGGAGCTGTAATGCTTCTGTGAATTATGATAAATATTCAATGGAATTTATTGGTAATGCCACTGACTTAATGAACTCCGTCTGTTGAATATTTATTGCGGCTTCCACGACGACTCTGGCATCATGTGAGCCCTTTGTGCGCCATTGGGGCAAGACAAAGCGACTCCCCGGGAATGTGTGCTGACATTGAGCTGGAACTTATGTGCATTCTCTCCCGGAAATGAGGACAAAAGTGCCGATTAAAAGCGGCTGTAAGGGAATAAGCATGCGTGGAATTTAGAGACACTCAGAGAGCTTCGCAGTGGACAAAAATCTGACGATTTAAATGAATTCGAAATGAGGAAAATATTGCACAAATAAATAAAAAATATCGCATAGAAATTGTGAAATCTAAAGCATTCTAGGAAACGCCAAAATACACTCTGTGCTCGTTCAAATGATTGCAACGAGATAATCCGCGCTGTGAATGTCTGTGACGATCGCTCACAGGATGTCCAAGTTGGCGCTAGAAAGTCTATTCAGTCAGGAATTCAGTGGAAAGCTGTGCTTTTGGAGCAGCTTTGAGTCCTGTTGCACTCAAGGGGGAGTTATTATGGCCAGAAGTGGTGTACAGTTCAGTAGAAAGCCGATTCTCGAGGAATCCTAATGGTCTCAATCAAATATTTTATCAAAAATGATTATTTTCCAAGGAAAATTGCTAAATTATAAGAAAAAAGTTATATTTTTGACAAAATATTTAAATAAATTTAGTAGAATTAAAAAATGAATGGCAAAAAAGTAACAAAATTTGCCTCAAGCTGGAATTGAACACCAAAAATTTGTAGAAAATACAATCGGGACTTCAACATGTTTTTAAAGTTTAAATTGCTGCTCAAAAATCCCGAGTGATTTTCTTCTTATTTGCATAATTGTGTTTCTGTGCGCTTTTTCCTACCAAATTTACGTAATTCTCTGAATATTTCTTGATCTTTATTGCAAAAAATGCTCTCGATAAAGTTTTTCTAGGTTATGTGTCTTTTTTAAAATAGATTGAATGAATAATTTTCATTCCTCCACATCAATTCTTATGCTTGAGGTAGAAAAATGACATTTAAGCGTTGCTATTTTGTGTTTTAAAGATCAAAAAGAGCTTAAAATCATACTTAAGTGTGACATAACCTCAAAAAACAGCAGTTAGAACTCTTTTAAAGCGATTTTAGACTTGAAATCCAATCATAATAGCTGCATTTGTCCTACATTTGTCCATTTTTTCGGGAACTGAACTGATGTACAGATTTTAGGCGTGATATTTCCCTCTTGGTTTTATTCTCAAAGTGTGGCGCTAAATAGAAATCGAATACTGTACTTTTCATCCTTTTCCTTTCTCCTTTATCCCTCGAATCGCTTCTGTCGATTTATATACACTGCAACATGTTGCAGCTTTTGCACAATTATGTACATTCGAGTCTTTGTCCCTCCTTTCACTCTATTTGGCGGGCGATTTTTTTTTCCTGAAAGACGTACGAAATCCTCCCAAACTTGTGCGGCGATGGAAATGCTCTGGGCCTTGAGAGTCCTGGCGAAGGAGCGAGAAGTAATTAAGCAGAGCACGAAGAGTACTGCACAGTCATCCGTCAGCGGCACATCTCATCATATTTCCCACCGTTTTGTTGATTATTTGGCCTGGTGTGCTGCACGCCAGGCGTCGCTGCGCGCATGTGCGGAATCGCGTGAATTTGTACGCGCTAGAATGAGTCCGACACTCTCGGCGGAGCCAGAACGTTGATGCTCTTCCATCTGCAGATATTTCCCCATGTAGTGGAGCAAACTCGCACACATTGTGGTGCGTCTGGTGGGTCTTCTGGGAGCTGCCAACCCTCCGTCTGCCGCTTTTTTGCTCCCACTTCACCCACCCAAATCCGCCTTGTGACTCTCGAGATGGTGCGTTCTGTTTCAGTCTCGATTTGGATCTATCCCAAACTGGTTAGACTCCAGCCAGACCTCGGCACCGATCCCCGATTGCACTCGCGAGCGTGTGATTCTGTCGTGCACGGCAGGTGTTTCTCCCTTGGCAATTGAGCGCGTGAACTCTCTGTCGTGGCCAGATAGATTATTTCTGAGATGTGTGTGGTGATTTGCGGGGTTGACGCTAATCCGGAAGGTGTGTGATGGGGTGCTCAATGGCAGCGTCTTGAGTGGCCATCGGAGCGAATTATGACAAATCGAACTGTGAGCGGGAAGTCTTAGTGTCCGGTTCAGCTTAGCAGCCCTTTTGGTCAGTCCCCAGGACACTGCAGGGAGGCTCTCTGGGCGAATCGCCGAAGAGTGTGTGACACACATAGCCAGTAAACATCTAGGGTGCGCATCGGCAACACGAGGTAGAAGGGAAACGACTATGGGCCACTCCAAGTGGCACCCTCACGATCCAGGAAGCCAGAGCCAGAGCGAGAAGTGATCTGAGACAGTGGTCTTGACTGATGAGGAAGAAACGCAAATCAAAATTCAATGTCTAGATGTGATGTGCTCCTTATGATCATTTCAACACGCCGAGCGACACCCACAACATGTGAGAGCGCGGCCTCAATTGCGCTCTTTCTTTTATTTGCCTATTAATAACACTCTTCCTTAGGATAAAATTGCAAACACTGTGCGTGGTGTGGCAAAGTGTGGACAGTTTTCGCGAGCGGATGAATCCGGGCATTGACATTGATATTGTCGTGTAGTGAGATTGTATTGATTATAGATGTTAATAAGCAGAAATTATAGGTGAAAATTATTAATTTGAATGAAGATAAAATAGAATCAATTCCTACCGAGTCGTTTCAACTAAGAAAGAAATCTGTACAAAACAAAGAGTCGGCTTTTCGGAAAAAAACGGGTAGTTTTAGCTGCAAAACACAGTGGTGAAGATTTATGGTATTTAGGATAAATCTATCTTTTATATACTTAGCTTGCACTCTATCGTCCGAGTTAACACTACAACTTTAGGCACTCAATGTGGCAAAGGACCCACACACTTTAGTCAGTACAGCGTGAATTTGTGTCGGCCCAGGTGTTGCTGCAAAGTCCTCCGGAGCAATTAATTATCCCAGCCATGATTAGCAGACAGAGGAATTTTTGAGAGCGCACACAGTGTGAAAAGTTTCGGGCGTGATGAAAGTGGACAACGGTGCGTGAATTGGCAATGGAGCTCCGATGCCAGGCAATTGAGACTGTTGAACACTGAGTGGGTGAGAACTTTCCAGGGCAATGCCGGTGGCAGCCTCGAGTTGTTGTGTGAATATTTGAGCGCACACACGGCAAATGGTGTGATTTAGGTGTACTCATCAGCTGTGGGACCAACGAACAATACACCATATTCTCGATAGCAATCGATGAGCAGATCGGGCCATCAACATCACCAGTAATGCCAGAAACATCCATTTAACGAATTTATCATCCATATATTGGTCGAGAGTGTGAGACGAGCGAGCATTTGAAAGTGAATTTAATTAGGAGCTAGAGCGTTTTCGTATGCAATAGATGGGTATATAATCTCATGTGTATCGCACATGAATCACAAGCAATAAGAGGGGCATCACACAGAGTCGCTTAGTGGACATGGAGAAGCAACAGTGGCCACTGATGGAGTACCCAGTGGGCAACATCACCAATGAGGACTTCCTGGCCATGATAGGCAACGTCTCGGGCCTGGTGGAGCCGACAGGGGGCGCCAATGACACCCTCATCAACGCCACCCTGTCGCCAATCTCCACCACGAGCGCCGCCGCCGTTCCCGGCACCTATCCCAGCGGCTACACGATAGCGCACATCGTGTTCGCCTCCATCGTGGTCACCATCCTCATGGTGATCATCGTGGTGGGCAACATGCTGGTGATCATCGCCATTGCCACGGAGAAGTCGCTGAAGAACATCCAGAACTGGTTCATCGCGTCGCTCGCCGTGGCGGACTTCTTCCTCGGCCTCGTCATCATGCCCTTCTCGCTGGCCAACGAGCTCATGGGCTACTGGATCTTCGGCGCCTGGTGGTGCGACATCCACTCCGCCATGGACGTGCTCCTCTGTACGTCCAGCATCATGAATCTGTGCCTGATCTCCCTGGACAGGTACTGGAGCATCACGAAGGCCGTGGAGTATCTCAAGACCAGGACACCCGCGCGCGCCGCCATCATGATCACCGCCGTGTGGATAATGTCCGGCCTCATCTGCATCCCACCGTTGCTGGGCTGGAAGGCCAAGCAGCCCGAAGGACCCCTGCCGCAGTGCCAGGTGAGCTGACCTTGTGCGCTGTGGCGCAGAGAATGCCAAGAGAAATTGCTATTCTTTCCCCCAAATTATACTCTCACACATAATATCAAAATTACATAAATCATCATAATCCCAGCACAAAGGAGAGCTTTTATTCATACGGAACTTTCCTTCTCGCTGCACAACATATATATAAAGTCCCTCTAACCCCCGAACTTTAATACATCAAAACTCACTTCTCCATATGCACTTAATCTTCAAAATCTCTCCCATGACGAGTGAGAGCTAAATAATAAACTAGTAAGTGAAAGGAGCTTTTCCCCAAAATTGTTACTTCTCTATTTCAATCAAGGGGCAGACAATGTGCCCTAAATCTGTACACCATTTTCTGGCACATTTTCACAGTCTCTGGGCAGAATCTTTAACACTTCAGTGACACTTCTGACTGTCTTTAAAGGCATTTTCTGACACATTTCAGACAAGAAGAATTGATTCCATCTTGATTTTCTAGTTTTGACCAAATTGTGAGGTTATGAATGCGCCTTAAAACATTCTTCAAGCTTGGAAATATATAAATTTGGGGAATAGAACAGTTTTTACTAGATAATAAGGTGGAATTTGTCACTTTGAAGCACAACCAGCGGAAATAACGAAGGAAAGAAGCATTTTTCTTACCTTTTCTTTGAGGTTATGATTTATTTTCAAGCTTTTTCGTTACCAATCTGAAGCTTTTTCAAACGTAAATGACTTTGGTAGTTATTTAACTGTCAGAAACTGTTTCAAATCAATAACATGATCAAAATATCTCAATTTGTTGCAACAGAAGCTTTTTCAATGCATTTTATTTGCCCCTTAACTTCAACCCAGTTCAGATTCTTCAGTCACGGAGCTTTTTCACAGCCATTGATCGTGAAATTCCACGGGAAAATGGCATCTCTTTGATTGACTTGAGCTCAAAGCGAGTTCGGATTTTGAGAGGAAGTCATTTGGACGGAATGATGATAAATTGAAAAAGTTTCTTATCACCGAAACTTGGATTCACGCGGACTGTCCAGAAGGGTCACGCTGTGGAGGAATTTCCGTCAAAACAAGACTATTAGCGCTCCTCTGGGTCATTGCCAATGGGGTTTTTGAGGGTTAGATTCGTTTCTCCGCAGTTTTCCTCCCCATATCTCCACTTAATCGCTCAATCCTGAATATTTTGCCAACTGAAACCACCCTCGCATTCCGTTGTTTGGTCTTTTGGGGGGTGCTGACATGCTATGCTGTGTGTATTTGCTATTCTCCTGCTGCAAATTCCATCCGCAAGCTCAGGGGAGAGAAGCTTTTCATCCAACTTGGCGCACACTGTTGCAGAATTCCCAAGAATAGAGGGAAGCTTTTCGCTGAATCTCGTGATTCATTCATTATAATAGTCTATTGAAGCGCGATATGAATGCACCGCGAAACATCTTGCAGCGAATTCAGACGCCCGTCTGCATTATTTCGCCATGTACACATCGTTAAAATAACATTTTTTCCCCCCAACCCTCCATGGCCGCTCCTGGCCTGGGCTTTTATTAAATTCTAAAGGCGCCAGCCATGAAATTTCACCTCTTCAGCAGCCGCCGAAGTCAAGTGGGTGGAAATGCAAAATTCCCAGCTGGTTTCATTTCAAAATTTTACGATCCAGCACTAAACGGAGTTTGCCAATTGCCGACGCTCGATTCTATGTTATGCCAAAGATGTGAACTAAGGGATGAAAAATTGCGCGATTTCTCCCTTCAATGTGTTAATGAATTATGGAAATTGTCAGTGAAAAGACCGCATTTTCACTTTTTACTTCCTCTTCCAGAGGCGTTTGGAGATTATCCCACGATGAAAAATCGCCTACAAAATAATCATCTTTACCTGGAAAAATTATTGATGGGCATTAAATCCAATTATGCAAATTTTACTCTGAATTCTGGAACAGTGAAAATATCTCACGTAAAAATTCCTCTTTTATCCAAAGTTCAACACTGAGAAATATTCTATAATCTGTCTATGGAAAAAATAAGGAAAAATTAAGGACTTTTCTAGCTGGTGCAAAATATTTGCAAAATCACACAAAAAAATACCTTTATCTGCTTTGCTTACTCGAGTGAAAGCTCTTCCGATGCTTCTTCTCAGTGCTGAAAAGTTGCGTTGGCGGTTTTCCGGCGAGTGAAAACTTTTATGACTGTTTGTTCAATTTGACTTTTTGTTGGGGCAAAAATGAGTGGGTTGACCTATGGGGATGTGCAAAAATAAACCCTCAGCCTGATGAGTCACGATGGCAAACTTGTGGGTGAATATTTGAGAGATAGACTCGATGGCCTGACGTTTGGCTCCTGGGCCAAATATAGAGTGTCCCAGAACGTGCCTGGCTTCGGGAGGGAGGAAATTTTCATGAAACCCGCCCCATAATGATAGTCTGCATGAAAACAAGGGGGAAATAACACTTCCAGCACATCCATTTTAGACTATTTGCACGCTTATTCTCAAAATAAATTGAATCTCTTACGTATCAGTCCGAAATGTCTGATAAGAATCCACTTAAAACCGCTTTTTGGGTATCTTTTCTGATCATAACCTAAAAAAATCAATTTGAGAGCTGTTAAGACTCCGCTTGGAAGCTTTCTTGACCACAAAATCATCTCTTATAATTCGCCAATTAACCTTAAGATTGCTGATTCGGAGTCAAAATTGTCCAGAAAGTAATCTAAATATGCATTTTCCAAGCTTAAATCAATATTTTTGAGGTTATGTTAGATCTTAGCACATTTTGCAGTGTTTCTTAGTATAGAAAGCTCAGAAAAGCCGTGTTAAGTGCATGCAAATCTTTCATTCTGCCATTGATTTACAATCTTTCTGACTAAAGCATTAAAATTGTGATGATTAGATTAGATTAGATTCGTTACATAACCTAAAAAAATGAATTATTATGGTTCGTTTCTGAGTAAAAATCAAAGGAAATACAAAGAATTTGGCAAATTTGTCTATAAAAGAAGCGAAAGAATCTCTCAGTTTTCCACCACTTCTATATCATCTCCTCCTTGGGTGAAAATGCATGGAGAATGAATGATCATGTCCGGCGATATAATTAATGATTTGGGGGTGAAAGTCTTTGGAAATTGTAGTGGAATTTTGACAAGGCGCGCGAACAGTTGGACGATCAATATCCAATCATTAAAAGTGGCCGCCATAATTCAATTAATTCCAACCCCTCGGATGCGTGGAGATATGGGAATTATCGCAGTCACCCTCCAGATCACACTCGATTAATCTTCCGCATCGGGGTTTGCAGCGACGAAGGAAACTATTAGCCTCGACCAGCCCCAAGGTGGCCGATAAATTCTCAGGCTTCACCGCCGACTTTAGTGGGGTTTTTGGATAATAGCAACAATCTCTCCGTGAAGCCCTCCGCCAGCCGATATCCGCCCCCACATGCGGTGGGGGCGCGCAGCCCCTTGAGAAATAATCTCTTTCTCAACTCCCTCTTCGCCATTGCAATGTTCATGGCTCGTGCGGCAGTGAATGGCGGAATGCCCGAAAGAAATACTTCCGCCGGAGTTATTTCAAGTATTTTAATAAAAGACCCACCCCCAAAAAATCACAACTGAATTTATGTCATGTACAATCTTATCATGGCTATAACACAAAATACATATTTTGCACGCTCAACCCATTCGCCATCGCGCTTTTGCCGCTCTCTTCTTCCGCTCTCTGTCAATGCGATATAAAATAAGCAATTGAATTGCATGGAAATGCCATTTGAGAGCCACACAGAAGCCCAATTCTTCGGATAGCGACTCAATAAATTAGTATAACTGGGAAGAGATACTTCGGTATGTGAATCACCCCAAAAACGGTTCTCATTGTTGAGTCTCCTCACTGAGAGAATTTATCTCCTATGCAGACTTTCCCTCATGGCCAGATAGTTTCACAAGAGTTATTTAGGGTAGTTTCCAGATCTGAAGGATATGTACATATTGAAATCGGATGTGGAATGCTTTTCAGGTGAAACTTTCGAGAGATAAGTACGCATAAATCAGAGGGAAATTTGTAGAATATAAGCTCGTGCGAGGGAAATTGTCGGAACGAGAGAGACAGAGAAAAGCTTCAGACGGGATTTTAGAGCAGACTGGAATTTTTTCCCCTGTTTTAAGATAAGATGGATGAGATGTTATTCCATGCAGTCTATTGATTAAGTGTTAGTTTGATTGTTTGATTCCTCGCTCCATTTCCGAATCATTCAATATTAGATTGCTGTGCTTTCCTCTCAATGTACATTGCAATTAAGGATGTCGATTGGAATTATGTGAATTAATGAGAATGCAATCTATCTAATAAAATTATTCCAACCAGCACAACACTATCGATTTCCTGTGGCTATGAATTATGCAAGGGGGAAATAATTATGCACAATTTCCTGACATTTTCCCTGAAATCTATTTGATTAGAAACATTTTAGATAACAAATTTTGATCTTATCACCCGGAAAATTAACTAAAATCTAACTGACAACTTTATAATTCAGATTTTCAGACGTTTTCTTCCTCTTATTTGACATTTAGATATTCTTTTTGACCATAATTCTTGAGCAGCTTTTGATTTTAATCTTTTTTAATTCAAAATCAATCGGTTTTAAGTGAAAATCTTGAGAATATATTTAATTTTAGTACGAAAATGCAATTGTTAAAGCCAGAAGACGGAAAAAAATTATCTCCCCCTTGGAAATAAATGTGTGCGACGAATGAAAATGGAAAATTAAAGCGAAACATCGATTCTCTCATGTTATCTAAATATTGTGTAGCCGCAATACATGAAAATTGCTGTAGGTTTTCCATCAAATTCCCCACTGTTCAGCCCTTCAGCACCCCCACGATCTGTTTACACTGGGCGAGAGGGGACGCCAGTGTCTTCTGTCTGCGGTTCCACCCTGCAGGCACATCGACAACCCTGCCCACAATCAATACGGCTCCTTTGTCGAAGACTCTCAGGTGAAATTGAGGTGACAATGATGGGTT